TATAAAAATATTATTATTTATTTTATTATCTAATTCCTGAGAAGAGATTCTAGTATTATAAAAATATTATTATCTACTCTATTATCTATTTATTTAATGGGATCGCGGAGATTAAAATATAATAATAAAATTATTTTTTTTTTTTATAATCTTTTCTTCTTTCTATCTCACCAGCTGCATGGAGGGATGAGAGGACAAGATATACTAAAAAAAATAATATTAAAAATAAATATAATATTAGCTTATCTATTAATTTTTATTATATCTCCTGCAGAAAGAATATTATTTATATATAAGAATTATAATAAAACTATTAATTATAATATTATTTTTCTTTATTATCTGCTAGCTCAGCGGGATCGCGCAGGTTTAAATATATTAATATAATATTATTTTTTATTTATTTTATCTTTTTTTAATATTATTATTATTTTTATAATCTACTAGTCAGTATATAACCTCTGCTTTCTTATAAGTAACTGTAGGTATATATATAGATTATAATATATTAATATTTTTTATAAAAAGAAATACTTCTCAAAGTATATAATCTAAATAAAGTAAATAGTATTAAATATTAAGATAATTACTGGAGTAAGTATAATTATATATTAGATACTCAGATTATTTATAAATAATCTCTTACTTTGTTTTACTAGAGTATTTAGATAACTACTAATATAATTTATTCTTTTACTGTAATTTATGTTTTTATTTATTTATTTTACTTATTATTTATTTATTTTATTACTTAACTAGTAATATCACGCCTTAATACTAAATAAGAAGTATATATGATTTGAGCTTTCTAGACTATAGAATATATAGAATTCTTAGGATTTATTATAAAAATATTAATATATTACTTTATGTAATGCTTATTGGGATAATACTTATTATTATAATATTTATTTTTATAATGCTTAATAGACTTAATTAGATTTAGAGTCTGTAGAAAAGGATACTAACCTGATTTAAATTTTTATTATATATACTAATCCAATTAAATTTTTGTTATATATATTAATTATAATCAGAAGAGAATACTCCTATTTTTAAATATTTATAATACCACAGAATAACTGATTAAAGAAATAAAAGTTATATCACTATATTTCTTATGAAGAGCTCTATCGAATGATATTACTTATAATCTGATCTGACTTTATTTGACTGTTGTCCCGTTGTGAGGATTTCCCTACTAGAAACAGAATAATATGGAATATTATAATTTAATAATATAAATAATTTATAATATTTAAATTTATTATTAATACTTGGAGGCCTTTTTAAGTCTGTAAAAAAAATAATAAATATATTTATTATTATTTAAAATAATTTTCAGAGAGATTTACCAGTCTGGAGAAGTAGTTTAGAGAATGTTTATAATTTATAAATAATATATAATTAAAATAAAGCTGTAAATATATATATTTATTATTATTTCATGTTGTAAGAGCAGCTTTTTTTTAAAAACCTGATTTTTATTACTACCCGAGATAATTTCAGATTAATTAATTAAAAATAAAATAAAATATATTATTTTCTTTCTTTTAATTATTTTTGAAATCAAGAAGATTAGTCTTGCGTTAGTTATTAAAAAAGATATAAATAATCAGGATAGATAATTATTAACCTGAGTATATTTTACCTGTGCTAAGACTTAAAAGAATATAGCAGGTAAGTCTTAGTATTAAGAATAATTAAAATAATTAATTATTTTATTCTTAGCTGTTCTGTAGTTAGGTATAAGGAAATCTTATACCTAACTGTTAACCTGATGGCAGGTATGAATTTTTCTATTAACCTACCCTACCCTGGCCGTTAACCACTCTACTGAGGTCTCACAATTACCCCCCTGATTGGGCTGGGCTCACTGAGAAGTCTCCTTCTGTTTACAGCTACATATTTCAACCGTCGTCCACTGTTGATTCGAATACTTCAGAAAGACACGTCATCAACCCGATGCAAAAGGGGCGCTGCCGCGCTGAGGTGAGATTATGGCGCCCTACCTACAACACACTAATGCACAACTATCATCCTATCACGTCCTGCCCCAAACTGTTCGGTGCAGGCTCGCGGCCGAATCAATATGCTGCATAAGTTCAGTTTGAACCAATTGTCTAGATAAGGAACAACATCCTCCCCCACGCAGATTTGCCCAAATGCCCGTACATAACTTCCAGCAGATTGCGTAGCAGTGGGGGAACCAGTCACGGAAAGTCATGCATGTCTCAGGACTCAGCGGAAAGCCTAGCATCTCATTGATTGGTCCACCATTACGTAATACATAGACAATCCCGTAGCAGCGTGATGTCCAATTGCTCATTCTGGTGCCCTCAAGGTTATGAACCGGCGTTGATGTCAAATAATAAAGCCCACGGGCTGTTTCCAATGGGTGTGCTGACTGCGTGAGCATGCCTTTGAAGAAGCAAATATGATTGGCGCAAAGATTACCATTGGTCCAGGAAAAACATAGCTTCATGCACCATGACCGCGCCACATTTGGCTGACTGTTAACTGGCGCGTTTTCACACAATCACGAATCATATTCCTTATCAAGAGGTCCAAGCAATAGCGGCTATGGTAAGCCAAAAAAAATATTTGTACACACTGGCCATGGACGAAAGTGGTACGTTTGTACTTTTGGTTGGACGGAAGGACCCGCCCAGAAGCTAGAGAAGTTTCGCCGGTGGATACAGCAGAACTCTTCAATTAATTGAGGCATATAGAGATAAAAGCGACATGACCATGTTCCTCATCCCGCTACTTGTTAGGTGCGGTTATTCCCTAGCGACATCTCTTGTATTAGCCGAGAAGCAAAGCGGAGCAAAAGGGGGTTAATGTGGGCGTTTTAGACTAAGGATTGCCCCTCCTTGTCATTCTTTAGGCACCAGCTTAGCTTACAATCCGGTCAGCCAAACCCCACTCACTACTAAAGCATGCGTCAAAGCGAAAGACACAAGTTGACCCTTATCTTAAGGTGGATGAATGGAAAATGGTAGACGGCGATTCAGACACTGATAGCCTTGCACTTACTGGCTTCCCCCTAGAGGGTAAGACCAAGTTATCGAGCAGGCTATATTGTTGATAATATGTTACGTTTTCTCCTTATCTGAAAACAACAAGCAATGCTCCAAATGTACCAGTCTCCGTTGCAACTTCCCCATCACAATGGCCTGGGAAGCAAGTGAGCCATTCACTCAAATCTCAATAATTAGTTGTTTGCTTCAAAATGAAATATGTGCATCCATAACCTTAGTTACATAGACATAGGTCTATTCTCTTGGTCTACGTCCAGCCATAAAGCTTCCGCCCTAGGCGACCGGGTTCTCACCAAGGGCGTGAAAGATGCAGCATACTTAACTACTGCTATGCTTACTGCGCTCTGAAACCCTTTCAATAAAGCAGCAACTACCCCAAAACCGATGTTCAGCCTTTTCTGCCAACATCGGCGCCAACCCTCTCCGCGGCCCCGAGCTGTAAGCACTTTTCATGCAGATCATATTAATTATACCATCTAGAGATTAGATGAGAAGGTCTCCGGCCAATAAGGGCACTCTTGAATCCAACTATTTATTTATTATTAAGAATGATGATTTTCCCCAATTTCATCGGTTGCTCATGACTTGGACCTGTCTAATTTAGTGCTTACTTTATCCTTGCACAAAGGCGTCCTATGAATGGTCTACTTTCAGAGGATTGCGTTGTTAGGGTGAATACGTCTGATTGATTATAGCACTTGGGGCCCCCCAAGCTGATGATAATGTTACGAATATTGGGCGCTGTAAATGCTATAAGTACTGATCATCAGTGAATAGAAATTACGCCAAGGAGGAATCAACTCTATTTACCAGAAATCCATTCTATTTTCTGCAATCCGACTTTGCTGGTCGGGATATCCGACACCAATGGCAAGCTCTAGCATTGTTGATGCCGTTGATGATAGCAAGGAGTCTCACGTCGAAGAGTTAGGCATAACGAACCATGCTTCAAAACGGTTGGCATGCATGTGCGTTCGTCTGGTCTCCCTGTGGTTTCCTCCATCACATTATTTTTCTGTTGCTAATTCGACGAATCTACATAGGACATGTCGTGAGCGAAAGATCCGCTGTGATAGAAAACATCCAACGTGTGGGAGGTGCGCGAAAATGGGGACAACATGTCGCTACCTGAGTCGTTCCAAGCCGACGCCGTCAAAGCTAGATTTATCACGATATTTAGTGACAATAAACGACCGTCTGAGTGAGCTATGAGCTTGAATTCGCCCTTTTACGTTATGCAACACAGATTCTGGCTAATCCAGACTCCTTCACAGAGCAGGCAGAGGCCCAACTGGCATTCCATTCGTCAATACAGAACCCTACGCAAACCCCTTTGGAGTCAGATGCTGCAGCTTCCGGGCCGGTTACATCAAATGCATCACCCTCACATATGGACTCGGCACTTTTGTCGACACTAGAACTGCCCGATCTCGGCGGGCAGACCATGAATGACTGGTAAGATATTCAACAGGTCTGCGTTGCGCTACTCAGTCTGCTGAGCTATCAGGCCCTCCATGGCAAATAACGACCCGTACGAGTTTGACTTCGGCGCTCCCTCCTCCTCGATGCCGATTGAACCTCTGATGGCGCCATTTATGCCCGTTTCTAACGGATTCGTTGGCCTGGACTCTATGCTTTTGGAGATGCTTCCTGCCGCAACCAACCATAATGTGCTGGAGTTGTCTCCAGGGCTCCTGCAAGGACTGTAGGCTACCCACGCTCCTCCGGGCTCAAGCCCATCTGACGAATACAGACACGACAGGTACTTCGATCTGTTCCATCCCATTATGCCATTAATCTGCCGATCTCGCTTTGAGGCTGAAATATCCGAGATGTCACCGTCAATTGAGGTTCAAAGCCTCTCATTTGCCATGGCAGTACTGGGATCCTTCTCAGTGCCCGAACTCCGCTGTCATGTCGACAGATGCTACGAGCAATGCCGCACCCTTCTGGACCTGTGTGAAAGACAGGATACGGGAGAATCTCTGGCGAGCATCAATACTCTCCAAGCGCTTGCCTTGTTGACCCTCTACGAATTCAAGCAGCCGAACTTTGCTCGGGCCTGGATGACTCTCGGGCGGGCTATCAGGCTAGCCAAACTGATAGGCCTTGACCGGGTCGATAGTCCTCCGAATTCGACCGTGACTGCACCCTGGGACCAGCGGCCGCGACTCCCACCGGCCTCTTGCGCTGTCATTGCGGAAGAGCGGCGTCGCACCTTCTGGGTTCTCTATGTATTCGATTCCTTATCAACCACCCATCTGCACGCCCAATCGGCCTTGGAAATGCCGGTATGTCAGGCGCGTTATTGCTGTAGGTTTCACGCTAATGAAATATCCAGGACTTTATCCGTCTCCCATCTCCAAGCGAATCTCTAGACCAATTGACGAATTGTACGATTGCCATGCCATCAATTCAGCAGATCGAAGCTGAGATCTCTGCCGAGGTGTCCGTGTCATCCTTTTCTGGCACACTCATCATGGTATCCCTGTACCGACGATGTATCGACCACACCATCTCGCAGATGAATCGTCCCCATGCCTTCTGGGAGACGCACTACTCGATTGATAAAGCCATCAATCACTACCGAGGGAATTTACTTTCCCACCACGTCAACAACGACTTTTCCGATGACCCACGATCCCTGTCGCTGCGCATGAACCTAGCCGCGGTCGAAATCACCCTACACGAGACGGCCCTGGTCAAGGTACAGAAAGACAAGCTACCGGCTGTCCTCGCCACCGAGGCAATTTCAAAATGCATCACCGCTGCCACCGACATTGCCATAACGGTCCAGCTAGGCCAACGGCTAACCGGCAAGAAGCTGGAGATATTCAAACACCATGACCGCTTCCTTGTGTGGCCGATGACTATGGCAATCCAGACCTGTTCGCGGATGCTGGACATGAGGGGAAATGTCGATGTGGATCCCTGCATCGAAAACCTACGCGTGCTCGCCGCCGCCATGAAGGAGCTTGTCAGTCCGAAACACGTCCGTCCGGGACTTCTGGAAAAGATAGATGCCTGGATGGCCGCGGTTGAAGGAGGCGCTAATGCCGAATAAGCTACCTGTATCAGTCTGCCTGCATTTTGAGAGAAGAGAGACTCTTCTATAGAAGTAAATAGACGACAGTATGGTTTTTCGATAAACGGGAGTTATCATTTTTCCATTTTCACTCTTTATCAGAAGGTAAAATTTCTATGTACAGCCAAGTATCTCCATATAATTTGCTTGCGAGGTTCATAGGTGTGGAAAAAGCAGCATTCAGGGACTTGCTGGAAAGAGGAGAGTATATTTGTGTCATCTAATGTACATTTAACACGGTATATTGATATATATATCGCCCGTGTGGCTTGGCTTTTGACACGACGCTAACGAGTTTAGTCGTCCCTGTGAGTGCTTCGATTTCCCAGTTCTACTGCCGTTTCGTGCTCGATGGCTTCTCGTCTCTTCTTTTCACCATGTTTCTCGTCCAGTCCAAACTCCGTCACTAATTCCTTGCGCAGCTCTACTTGCGGAATGCATACAGCAAGGGGAAACGCCGCGAGGGAAAACGCCAGCAAGACCTGCCAAACCAGCTTCAAACATGACTGATAGACGTCTAGGATCTCGTGCTGCAGGGCGGGATTATTGTCGAAGGCCTCAATGAAAAGCTTGGTGGCATGCTCATATGCCCCTCCACGAGCCAGGAGATTGCGGGTGGCCTCGTCGCTGATGTGGGACAGCTGACTGTCGAACTTGGAGTTGAACACGGCCGCGGGGATGGCCGCGCCCCAGATGGCACCAAAACTCCGCACGAATGCCCAGCTCGCGGTGGCGATGGCGACGTCCTTCTCCGGCAGCGGAGCCTGCACTGCCGGGAGCGTGGAGGTGAGGGAAAGCCCGCCGCCGATTCCCGTGATGATTTGGAAGATGACCCATGTCGCTGTACTCGACTTGTCGGTTAGGAGCGTCAGGAGACCCACTCCGACGGAAATCAGACTGTAGCCGAGGATGATGGTGGGCTTGTACCGGCCGGTCATGGCTACCATGAGGCCACCCACGATGCCGGCTGGCATGAGGGGGATCACGATGGCGAGGATATCTACCCCGGACCTCATGGGACTGGCCCGCAGCATCACTTGGAAGTAGATCGGCAGGAAGAAGGAGAGCCAGGACATGATGATTCCGTGGAGGAAGGTGAGGATGTAGGCCACGAGAGAAGTGGTGTTACTGTACACGCGATGCGGCATGGTCGGCTCGCGGGCGACATATTCCTGATGCAGACCGAACAAGACGAGGCCGAGAGCGCCGACCAGGAGAGGGACGAGGGTGTGCCACGAGCTCCAGGTATACGTTGTTCCTCCCCAGGTGAGGGCAATCAGGATGGCCACGATCGCCGCAGAGAGAATCATATTCCCGGAGAAATCCACCCGAGCGAGTCGATCCTTGAGAGTGCCTTCTCGGTTCCATTTGACCCTTAGAAACAGAGTAACCAGGACCAGCGCAATCCCCGCCACGGGGAGATTGATGTAAAAGACCCACCGCCATGTCGTTTTGGTGACGATGGCGCCTCCCAGCACAGGTCCGATAAATGTGCCCAGGGCAAAGGTGCCCATGATGATACTCATGAACTTCTGTCGCTCCCGGAGGGCTACCAAATCAGCCGCGATGATATCCACCATCACGAAGATGCCTCCGCCCCCGAGTCCCTGCACAATCCTTGCGGCAATCAGCATTTCCGTAGTGCTCGCTCCGCCACAGAGGCCGCTTCCCAGGGCAAACAGGACGACGGAGATGATCATAGGGTATCGCCGACCGAAAAGATCGGACGCTTGGCCGGCGATAGGCTGCACCGCAGCCACGGCCAGAAAATACCCGTTGATTGTCCATATATAAAGTGAGCCGGAGTGCAGCTGGTCGACGATAGTCGGGAGAGCAGTGGCAAGAACAGAGGTGTCCAGGGCCGCAAGAAGGATGGCAAAGCAGAGGCCTGGAAAAACAGCCCAGAAACGCCAGCCACGGTGCTGCCGCTGCGGAGGAGGCTCGTGGGCATTTGCAAGGGGTTCGTCGTGCTTTTTGGAAAGAGCTTGCGGTATGCGCTCTTCGGGACCGCTCTCGGCAACGATGCTGGTCGAGACGGCCATGACGGGTTTAGGCAGAGGATTATAGGATACAGCCAGCGAAAACCATTCGAGAGCTGATGATGGGAGTCAGAGAACGAAACAGCTCTGTAATACAGAGTTGCTGCTTGTTGACTATTCTACTCGATAGTAATCCCGCAGTGGAAGTGGGCAAAGCACTGGTTGGGAAGAAAGACTACAATAGGCATGGAAAGCTCGGGGCAAGCCGGAGGCAAACAAAACAGAAGTCTCATCTGACATTCCCCGGTGAGTGTGACAGGCTGGAGAAATCTATTATTACTGCCCAATGGGAGCCCTAGGCTGGTTTCTTTGTCTGCAAGGACGGACATTGCCGGGCCGCATACACCGAAAAAGTACAGCACCGCGAGTCATTCAGTAGCAGACAGAAATTTACCACAATCATAGCAACTCATCATAATGTGACCGTAATGCAGGGGGTGTATTACATTTCAACAATGTCCTCAAGACTTGCTTATCCTCCTGACTCGCATGCCTCGGCTTGTCTCCGGATTAAACGCAGAGAAATAATCATCATAAATCAGATCTTCGGGCTTTGTTCCGTCTAACTCCAAGTCACCGTATTTGCGAAACAGCATGGCCGTGGTAACGTATAGTTCACAATATGCCAAACTGTAACATCTGTCAGTTGTTTGTCGTCCAGGTATAGTGGTATAGTACTGACGGCATGCCAATGCACTGTCGACTGTCTTTGCCAAAGCTGACCAAATATCGACTGAGCTTGCGTCCTTTTATAGGATCCATCCATCTCTCTGGGTCGAAGCGTTCGGGGTCAGGAAATATGCCTGGGTTGCGATGCATGACCCAGGAGGACATCCCTACAACCGACTACAAGACGGGTAGTAATGAAAATCAGCCACATATCCAAAGACTAAAGAAACGTCAAAACCTACACCAGCCGGTAGAAAGTGTCCGTTAAACTCAGCTCCAGGGTCAGGAACCACACGGGGAAGGCGACCGATAACCCCGTAACTCAGTCGCAAACCCTCCCTGACGACGCCTGTCTGCGCTGCATCAATCAATAGTCAGAGGAAAAAAGCAAGGGCTCAACATACTAGGTAAGGGAGTTTCTCCAAGGTCAAGAAATCTATACGTTTCTCTGGATCCGCAAACTCCTGCTGCATCTCTTCCCGCAGTCGACGGTAGATATCCGGGTTGCGAAGAACATGAAACGCGATCATTGTGAGGGCATTGCCTGTTGCAAGAGCAGCAGCAACCATGATACTCAGACCCTCATCGGTCAGCTCATCAATCGTGCGGATAGGAGCCTGTCCGACATTATCGCTGGGAGCAAGGAGTTCATGGAATATCGATCTGCGGCTTAGATTACCAATCTCACCCGCAGCAACCTGGCTCTTGACCTTGACCACATTTGCCTTGGTCTCCTATAGACTTGGCGTGAGTGTATTGATCCGAGCAATGAGTCATAAAGGACACAAAAAACATACATCGACCAGCTTGTTATATTTTCGAATCACAGTATTACGATCCGAAAGCCACCGCGGCAAGCCGAGCATGATGGCTTCTAGTCGCTTACTCTGCATGAAAATCCAAAGCCCTTTCAGGACTCCCCGCACCATGTGGGCGAAGTCGTGCCCAAACCTTGGATAGTTATCGAGTAGATTATAGCAATCATGGAACACGTAATCGCTAGTCACGTCCACACTGAGTGCACTGAACAGACAATGCAGTTCCACCGACCCACAGCCGGCATCCAAGCCTTCTGCAAGCCGCTGAACCAGCTTCGCAGCCTTGTCCTGGATCAGTGGCTCGAGATGCAGAACTGCCTTACGGCTGAAGAAGGGGTTTAGGGCGGACCTCCGGGACGTATGCACAGAGTTCTGGATGGCGGTAAATGTGGCTGAGGGGGAGCCAAAGACACAATAGTAAGAGGGTGATTTATAGTATTTGGTCCCCACGTGGTAGATCTTGTCGTAGGCGTCAGGATCGCTCAAGGATACCTCGTCCGGTGTGATACGAACGACGGGACCTGGTTTGGTATATTAATCAACAAACGCCTTTATTCGGAGAGAGTAATGAATACCATATTGTTTGTGAAGACGCTCCACCTGCTGGTAGAAATCGCTACGCCCCCCGTGGTAGCTGTAGAATGTCTGGTAAAGTTGCGTTGCAGCGGCCAGCTTTGGGCCAGGAATCTTTGCAAGCGGATGAAGCGTGAGACGGTAGAGAACGCGGGCTAAGACATAGAGGGTGACTACAATAGCCACGGAGCCGTAGAGTGATAGCTCCATTTTAAGCATCTGCTTCGCTGTCTGGTAAAACGATGCAACTGTTATTCTATTTGTACACTCCTGGTAGACAGACCGGCCGGGCCCTAAGGCTTGTTGACCATGTCCATTTGTTCAATAGAACAGAGATGGATACGATCCTATAAAATCCCAGCGGACTTGGGCGGCCCGAGCTGTCGTCGTGTTGTCGGGGTGCGGTTTACTGATATCCGTCTTACTCATACGGAGTTGAGGCAGTAATTAGTTACTGGTCATTCGTGCTGACTGGTAATAGCCGTTACCAATAGGATCACCTGGTAGTTGGTGGTTGAGCAGTAAGAGTAATCTATATTGTCTGCATTTGAGAAACTCCGCTGCCACATGGTATTTGTACTACTGAATGGTTTGATGCAAATGCCTCTTATATAAATATTTTTCTTCATAATCAAGGTGGAATATTGTAAGGAGCCACAAGTTGATAGCATCAAGTTTGGAACTGCATCTGTTCAACAGCCATCTGAATCGCGCCAGCCACCTTTGCAACCGTAGATGTACTTCTAGGAAGCTGGTGGCCCCCGTCATGCGTCACCACATGTGCCAATCTCGGCTCACACATTCCTACGAGGGCCCTGCCATGGTCGGCATACTGATCCTTCTCCCCAATAACATGCGCAGTCGGGATGTTGATCCGCTG